AGTCTGCCTTCTTAAGACAGCTATGAAAGCTTTTGAATTAGGTAACATAGAACCAATATCCTTCCAATGAAATGCTGAATGGGCTCTGGTGGACATTTCAAGGTCATCTGATTCTAAAGTCTATGTCTTATTATATCTACTTTTTTTTTAAAAGATTTATTTTTATACAAGAACCGGGGTACAGACCAGATGCGCGAAAGGGTGAGAGGATTCACTGGAGACAGAGCGGGAAACAGAACAGGCAGACTGATGAAACACACTGCCGTGGGGAGCAGCAGGCAAGACAAGAGAGGTCTGCTTCGCCATGTGGGACCCTTGCCGGCCAGCCGGGATCGAAATGGTGCTGCAGAGGTTGCAGACAGCTTCACAGTGGGGCGCTCAACCACCTGCGCCTCCAGGGAGGCACTATGTCTTATTGTATCTAACTAGACAGTTTTAACATCATTAGAAATTTCATAGCAATGCAAATTACACTTGAACATAGGTATACAAATGTAATTTTTTTCCAGTAGGAATGTTGTTATTACTCTGTATAAATGATTCCAAAGGTTACATTTTATTGCTCTATAAATATTAACCAATTTTGAATCTATTGGCAAATTCATTTCAGCATTCCTGACTGCCTCCATATGTGCCTGGTCTTCAGATCAGACTCCTTTGAAATGGTTGTTCATCTACTCTCAACTGTAGATTTGTTAAATAAAATCTTGGATATATGTTTATATTCAAGTACTCCAAATACACTGAAAACTTTTTTCTTCATATACGGACTACATTTGTATAATCGATGAGGAATCAGAATGGTTTCACCCTGGAGCACAGAGAGGACAGAGATGAATTAGAATAACATTTACATTGGTAGAGAGGGGGGTTGATAATGAGGTTGCTCTCATGGATTTGTAAGATTAACTTCGAGAAGAGTGGAAAATATGGTTTAGCAGATAGCTCAGGACCTCAATTCATGGACAACAAAATGACTCATTTTTAGGATATGTAAGGTACAAGCCCACCATCCAGCTAACAATATGGTAGGTTATGTTGAACTATAGGATCCTTGATTATACATCTTGTGTTGAATTAACAAATTTCATGAATCACTGAATTCGATGTGGTGGTATGTATTTGAAGTGGATTTTTGAATTTCCTCTCAACCATTGAGTAATGCTCTTTGAAATCAGAGACTCCCAAGGATCAAACAATGCCAGCTGGCTCCTTTTGGTCATAAGAAAGGAAAAACATATTTCATTTAACAAAACAAAATTTGAATTCTCTGAGCAGAATTGGCAGATGGAAAGCTGCTTCTAAATGAGCATCCCCATTCTGTCCTCACAAGGCACAAGCACCTGCTGGGGAATGAATGTCCCACCAAGCCTACTCCTGACCCAACTTCTAAGGTTGAACTTCACCAGCAATCTGCCTTAGGTAACTTGTAGAATCAATCTTGAGGCAAAGATAGCTTATGAAGTTTCCTCCCTCTATCTTTCCATGTACAGCTTATAAAAAAACAACAGTGCATTCAGAGAGTAACAGGAGCATCATTGCCGCACTATATTTAGTGCAAAATACAGTGGAATTTAAATTATTGTCCAATTAATCACACCTTCAGGCAATGCACGTGATACTCCCATCTTAATGTCCTCAGCAAGGCACACAGTTCTCTGACGTGGCCTTGTAGGTTAGATTAGGCTACCATGGCAAACAGATCCTTTTCACTTTCCTTTGATACCCTATCAGGTTTTCTATTGTCTCCTTCTTGAATGTAAAACCTGACTGAATCATGAGCCAGCAAATTTTAGTCCCTGGTGAAATCCATCCTTCTGCTTGTTTTTGTGTGGCCTGCAAGCTAGGAATACTTTTTACTTTTTTTTAACTGTTATAAAGGAAGAAATCAAATTCAAAAGTAGAATAATATTTTGAAACATAAAAGTTACATAAAATTCAAATATCCATGAATAGAGTTTTATTGGCAAACAGCCACGCTCATTCATTTATGTATTCTCCATGGTTGGTTTCATACTACAATGGCAGAGTTGAGAAATTATGACAGAGATAGTTGGACACACAACGTCGAAAATATTTACTTCCTGGCCATTTCTGGAAAAGCTTTGCTGCTCTCCATTCCAGATCACAACTGTACCTCTATCAACTGAAGCATAATAAGTGACTAATGAACATGGCAGATACAAGGAAAGGATGATGCAATAATATTTAAAATATTGGGCCTCCCCTGGTGGCACAGGCGGTTGAGCGCAGCACTGTGAAGCTGTCCGCAGCCTCTAAAGCACTGGTTCGATCCCGGCTGGCCTGCAGGGGTCCCACATGGCATGGCAGACCTCTCCTGTCTCACCTGCTGCTCCGCTTAGCAGTGTATTTCGTCAGTCTGCCTGTTCTGCTCCCTGGTCTGTCTCTGGTGAATCATCTCACCCTCCCATGCATCTGGCCTGTACACTGGTTCTTGTCTAAATAAATAAATAAATAAATCTTAAAAAAAAAAGATTTAAAATATTGCATTGAAAACCAAAAAACAAATGAAAATTGGAATTATAATGTATGTTGTGGCTTCAGGCAAGATGAGCAGACTTAGGATTAATGAAAATATCAATAAGCTACCTACCAGCCTATAACACTAATGAAATGACATTTTAAAGAGGTATGTGTCAGGCATTTTCCCTGTGAGCATCTTTACCAAACCAATTTCTTTTCAAGCAGTTTAGCGAAAATGAATAAGTGAATGACCATAAAGTAATTTTGCCATTAAAAAAAAGGAAAAGGGTATTCATGCAGACATCATAATACATAGGAAATTAATATTAAGAAGACAATGTTCAAAATTTTTGTATTATTTTGTATACTTTTTTACAAATATATTGCAAACAATACAAACACATTTAAAAATTGCCTTGTGTAAAGTTAGGTTGAATAGTACTATACTAGAAAATGATAACCTATTTGCAAAGAGTTGGTTTCATATTTTTCCAATGAAGAAATTACATGAACTGACAACTTGCTTAAATACACCAGAATCCATAGAACCCTCCTTGCATTCTAAGTTTAATGATTTCAGACTCTTATATTTAGGCCAAAGTGAAAGCTATTACCCTCCCTACTCCCCAAAACATATTCTTATGTGTATAAAACAACTTTCTCCAAAGTATTCTTTTTTAAAAAAATATTTCATTTTGTATGATAATTCTTACATCATCTTTCATTTTTGCACAACATATGCATTTTCATTTTGGTTATATTCCCCATACAATTGCACCCCCCTTATTTTGACCCTAATCCTTCTTCTCCCCCTCCCACCCCAGTCTGTAAGCCTAACTATAAAAAAGAAAAAATCAAAATCTCCGAAGTATTCTTAATAACCCTAGGCTTACTTTATGTTTCTGGAATAAAAACACAGGACACTTTACAGGTTATTTCATTTGTGACTCTTCTGAATATCTCTCCTGCTTAAAAATGCTTAAGGTTACTTCCAAATCATGAGTGCATAATATATTTAGCATTTAAAATGTGTATGAAAAAAATCATTATTGTACTGATATTTTAGAGGACCATTTTCATGGTGTGCACATGATTATGTTCCTAGCAGGGTGAAAACAATAAACATGAAAAAAACATGAAAACAATAAACAAGGGCAATGGAAAGCAGCCAACTGGTTGACTCATAAGTGGAGGAAAGAAACCCAACTGTCGCACTTAACTCGTTTCTCTTTTACGGAAAAATTGCTTATGACCAATTTGTCGTGGAGCAAACGTGGCGAAGTTTCTCATGGTGAAGCTACAAGGCCTAGTACAGTAAGTCCTCACCTCAGTCGTCTATAGGGGCTTGGAAACTGACTTTGAACCAGATGTCAAGGAAGGGAAGCAGGTTTTTGAATCACGTCATCTGGTTCAGTGTAAACCGGTCATTTTTTTCTCATTAACGTGAAGCCAGGTCTACCATAGGGCAGTCGATGTCAAATTGCCACGGCTTAATTTTGCTCACAAAAACATCACCAAACTTCTATGTAAAGACCCCAGAAGCTTCTAATACTCATGTATTCGTTTATCCAGTTCACAGTGGGTCTCTCGCTCTCTCTCACACGTCATGCTGACAAAACGCACACTCACATCTTAAGAATGTGGCAGGAATTGGGGGCCTCCCTGGTGGTGCAAGGGGTTAAGTACTGTACTATGAAGCAATCCGCAGCCTCTGCAGCACGAGTTCGATCCACGGCAGGCCAGGGAGCAACCCACATGGTGCGGCTAGACAGCCCTCTCCTGACTCACCCACTGCCCTCCTCAGCAGTGTATTTCGTCAGTCTGCCTGTTCTGTTGCCCACTCTGTCTCTGGTGAATCCTCTCACACACACACCCATTTCTGGCCTGTACCCCAGCTCTTGTATGCATAAATAAATAAATCTTAAAAAAAAAAAAAAAAGAATGTGGCAGGAAACACATAGAAAACCCACGCAGACATGGGAAGGACATGCACCCTCCACACAGTCGGTGGACCCAGCCAGGAGTCAAGATTGCTTTCCTACTCATTAGCATTGTAACGAAATCTCATGGATCAAAAGGACGTCCGGGGCACGGGTGTGCTGGAGGGAGGCTGCAGACGCCAGCGAGCCCTGCCACACCCACAGAGCTGACTGTGGCATGGCCTCTAGAATGATTCCCTGCTGGTGAGCAGGATATTTGATATCCCCTCGCAGGACGAATGTCAAAGTGATAAGCACACGTATGTATACTTGTTGTTTCTTCCAATGTATAGAACAGAAAAAAAAAATTTTTTTAAAAGTATATTTATTTTCCTTAATGTTTCACCTAACTTTGGAACTGTAGTTTTTAATAAAACACACACACACACACACACACACACACACACACACACACACATCATTACAACTAATGGCAATTTCATCTATGTTGATTTTCAGAGCACAAGAAAAAGCTGGTTTCCAGTGCCTCCGGCCTTCCTGCTGAAAGCAGACAGAGTGTATGAGGACCACTCAAATATGTCAGAGACTTCCTCCCATGATTCCTTCTACGATTCCCTATCAGACATGCAGGAAGAAAGCAAGACTGCTGACTTCCCGGAGCTATCTGCTTTTCTTAGTCAGGAAGAGATAAACAAGAGTCTTGACCTGGCCCGGAGGGCTATAGTCAACTCTGAGACAGAAGAATGTGACTCTGAAAAGGAGATCTCGCAGATTTTCAACACCTCTCCTGGAAACCTCTGTGAAAATCCTTCCTGTCTGGAGACTATGTCGGGTGAGCCAGCCTCCACAGAGGGGCCTCCAGAGAGCAGACCAAGCCTGGGGCTGCCTCTGCCCCATGAACCAACAGACAGTCTCCCTTCACCTGTTTCGAAGAGGAAAGCCACCCTGTCCCCGCTGCTGGCCAGCCCCAGTTATATCCGGAGCCTCCGAAAGACTGAGAAACACGGTGCAAAAACCCCCGACGCAAACATGAGGCCCAAGTCGGCCTCTCCAGGGAAGGCAGGCCCCCAGAGCGAGCTGTGTGACAAGACAGCTAATATCATTGAGGAGCTGACATCCATCTTTAGAGAAGCAGCAAAGCCCAGAAACAGAAGCCCCAATGGAGAATCCTCTTCCCCAGATAGCGGGTACCTGTCTCCCAAAAATCAGCCATCAGCCCTGATGAGTGCCTCAGCCAGCCAGAGCCCCATGGAAGGCCAGCAGGAGATGGAAGCAGAGGTCAAGCCCCCTGAGGCCAGGCCTGGCTACCAGGCTGGCCAGGAGGTGGCTGCTCCAGACAACAGCATCTCAAACCCACAACCCCAGAATGTATCCCACCTTCTCTCACCTCCTCGATTCATCCAGAAGCTGAGGAGTCAAGAAGTGGAGGAAGGAAGTAGAGTCTATTTGGAGTGCAGAGTCACTGGAAACCCACCACCTCGAGTCAGGTAAGACATTTTAATGCTGACTATCAAGTGACTTGTTGTGATTTGAGGTTTTAACTTTAATTTGGGAGGCAAAGAAATTTCCTTCTATATAGTTTGCTTGCTGAGGTCTGCAATAGTGTTTACAAATATCTGCAAGGCAAAAGGCATGTCAGAGTTGTAAGTGTGAGGGGTTGCAGTGGCACTGGCAGGTCTGTCTGTGGTCATGGGCCCTGTGCTCCTGACTTAGGGGAGCACAAAGGGGCTGTTGTGTAGGGCTCTGCAGTTAATAGATGCCCCAGGGAACTTCAAAGGGGAAACTGGGGCCTCCCTGGTTAAGACACAACCTATGAAGATATCTCCGCACGAGTTGGATCCCTGGCTGGCCAGGGAGCAACCCACATGGTGCAGCAGACCTCTCCTGATTTGCCTGCTGCTCCCCTCAGCAGTGTACTTTGGTCAATCTGCCTGTTCTGTTCCTCACTCTGTCTCTGTTGAACCTTGTCTCACCTCCCTCCCCACACCTCTGGCCTGTACTCCAGTTCTGGTATGCATAAATAAATAAATCTTTAAAAACAAAAAAACAAAGGGAAAACTGATTTGTTTAAAGTGGTCTGAGAAGTGTGTGCATTGTTTGAACTTAAGTTGCTGCCAATGATTGAAAGTTCCTAAAGCTAGAAGTTGTCTGTCAGAACAGAGACAAAAGGTGTGGTGCACAACGTTAGGTCCTAGTAGATCATCTTGCCTAATACGTGGAGTAAGTGGGCACATTTCACTCAGATGCTTCTGTGTGAGGCAACCACAGAAGAAAGAACATTAGCAACAAATAAAGAGAAACCAAACTGGGGGTGCTACAGACCTGCTGAGTGGGTCATCTGGTGGTTCTGGCTGCTGGAGCAAAAACACAGCAAAAAACAATAATAATAACAAGTAGGTGAGTGTGCTGTAACACTTTTTCACTGCAGGATTTATACCTTGTGTTTTTTAACAACTGTGCACCTAATCAAATTACTTTGTGGCTCAGTTTACAGAATGAGAATTACAACATAATCTACTTCATTCTATTTTAAGATGACTAAATAAAATATGAGCAAAAAGCAGTGCCTTGGAGAAGATACAATAGACTTTCTTTAGCAGTTCTTGTCTTTCAAGACTGTGTGTCTATGCAGGCGTCTGTTCAAAACTGCAGCTTTCCTGCCCACCTGTGTCTATGCAGACGTTTCTCTTCCCATTTTTTTCCCTTTCCTCAGTAATTTTCCATGTGCTGATGAAAAAAAAAAAGAATAGATTTTCTTTATATAAATCCAGGAGTTGCTTTCAGTGGTTTTTACAGGAAGGTAGATGCAGGTGTATGGAATTAAGATCATTTATAATAGGCTTTAGTACTATTCAAAATAAAATTATGTGAGATATATATATATATTGAAATATAAAACTGTGCACCTGAAATATATGTTTAAAAAAAGTTCTCACTTGAAACCCAGTGTCATATACCTGTAACTGCTGCCTTAATATTACCTATTATTTTTATTATTTCTCATTTCTTAATTTCATATGTCAAAATGAAAAGAACATCTCAATCAGGATTATACTAGAAAAAAAATAAACCATTCATTTATTTCAAAAGTTTTGTTTCTATTAAGACTAATTTTACCTTAATTGTGTAAGTATAAAAAAGTATATCCAAAATTATGAAATCTGCAAACTATGAGACATCACTGGCTAAAAAAGGCAACGATGGTACTTTCTTATTAACCTAGCACTTTACAAATCACAAGCTTTACCTCTCACCCTACATCCATTATTACCTTTCCCTGGAGTGGGTTTCTTGATTTGAGTCTTTGCTCACAAACACGAAGTAAGCAATAGAAATACTGACTGAAAAGTGTTGTCATTAGAAGCATGGAAGTAGGTTTTTTTTCCAATTAATTTTTTCAGTTAATTCACCTTGAGTCAGTTCTTACAGTAATTTTAGTATCTTTCTCCTAGAAACTAACAGCAGGGGGCAGTAAAAGTGTTCATTTAAAATAGGTTAATATTTGCATGTATCATTTTCATTAAGAATTTTTCTTACTGTTTTGCCTATGATAGAAATTAAATAGAGTATTTCTTTTGGATTCTACTTAGATTTTATTAACCCACTAATCTTGCAAACAAATAATTCTGTGTTAAAAATACATTCAAATAAATAAAAAATATATTCACATTACTCAAAACAGTTCCACAGGTTTTCATACTACACATGGCTCCATTTATGCTTACCTTCAAAATCGGCCCCTTCCAGATTTATTACTGTGGCAGGTAAGTACACTCACTCTTTCAATCCATTTAATCAAAGGATTAATTCCCATGAGTAGGCCATAATTATCGTGTTAAAGTTCACTTAAGCATTTGGTAATTTGAGGGCCATCAAATTCATGCTTCTGCCTCTTTTCTTTTTATAGGAGGAAGGCCCATTAATTTAGTAGCTACAGAATTATTGTTTTAACTAGTTTCCTCTTATCATCTCTCACTCTACCAAAGCCTGTGGCCATGTTCATTAGCCATTACAACTTATGCCCTTCTGGAGTAAATAAGTCTTTGGTGAGAATGTGCCATTGTTTAAAATGGCTGGGTTTTTATTTATTTATTTATTATCTTTTCAAGGTTTTTTTGATGGGAAGAGTCTAAGTGTTGAGTTTTCTTACTTTCTGTCATAAAGATCTTGGCTAGCACATCAAAAATTTAACAACATTGTTCCTTTTCCACATGACACAAAGGATAGTCTAAGGAGAAAATCTTTAAGAAGTTTTGTGTAAGGAAGAAAATCTTTAATAGAGTTCCCTGTACTGATGAGTCTTTGACCCTAGCTCAGATTGTGTCATTACAGGGGACTCAGAACCCAGATATCAGACAAATCTATTGTTTGGTGGGCTCATTCCTAAGGTCCCAGGAGCAGGTGGAGAGCAAGGGGATAATAAGGGATTGGAGCAAACAGTAAGCAGAAGTCCATAGACACCGACTGGTAAACCAAGAGATACTTCTGTTGAGAAATAAGCTGCACTAGGAGGAGAGTAAGGGGTGATGTAAGGAGTTTGCCGTCCCCAGTGGTAAGATTGAGACTTACTTTAAACGAATGCCCCACAGAAAATTATGGCAGCCGGTGTCAGGTGCCAAATACAGGGTCTGGAAGCATGGGGAGAAAATTCTACGCTTGAGGAGTTTAGTTAAGGAGCAGGCAATGCTACTGGTCCAAAGGCTCAGATATGTTTAAATGAGGCAGGACTTTAGTGACTAAACTTGTCCTGGGTCCTGGACAGGAAAAAAATTGCTACACGGACATGGCTGGGCTATTAAACTGCTGGCCTGAAACTCCTTATTTTGGCCTAGATAGAAACCACTTGGTTTGGGAAACTGGGCTTACTGAAACTTACAGATGCAGATAAAATAGACCCAACTACAGGAAGGGGAAGATTGATGGAAATAGTAGGATAGAAGCCAGATCATCCATTTCAAGGCATCTCTACTTTATATACAACATCGTCACCCGCCCACAAATAAAACTGGCACAAATACCAGTTATAACCACAAATGGACTGAAAAAATTCTGTTTTCTTCTTCTATTCTTGCATAATTCCAATAAAACCTCAGCAAAAGAGAGGAAAGTTGATGGAAGAAAAGCTTTAACAATAATTGAAGTCATGTATGATTTAGATACCACTCATATTACATGCTAATTATTTGGTAATCATTTTATTTTTTTATTTTTTAAAGATTTATTTATTTTTATTTATTTATTTATTTATACATGCACTGGGTACAGTCAGAAGCACGGGAGGGTGAGAGAATCTACCAGAGCCAGAGCAGGGAGCAGAATAGGCAGAAGGACCGAGTGCACTGCTGAGGGGAGCAGCGGGCGGCAGGAGAGGTCTGCGCGCCATGTGGGACCCGCCTCCTGTGGCCGGGAGCAGCCGGGGATCGAACCAGCGCTGCAGAGGCTGCGGGCAGCTTCGCAACCCAGCGCTCAACCGCTGTGCCACCGGGGAGGCCCTGATAATCATTTTAATTATTAAAGTCAGAATTCATGTTTTTCTGATTGTGTCCTAATGCAATTCTCACGACACTATAAAGAAATGGTCCCTTTTCATCAGTTTCCCTTTTCTCCCTATCTTCAACTTTCATGAGTTGGCAAAAAATGCATGAAAAATAATAGAGAAAAAAATAATCTCTAATATTATAATAATGAAGCTTTATATTTTCACTTTCAGCTCTTTTTAAAATGTTGTTATGACAACTATCTGTTTGAAGCCATTTCATTGTGAGAGAACTAAGATGGAAAGCTGTGAAATTATCTGCCTAGTAACAAAAAGTAATTAATTATAGAAACTGAACTATGACACAGGTCTCCTGATTGCTGATTATGTACTCCAGTGATTTGTGAGAAGATTTAACCTCTGTCACTGCTGTTTATCTAGTTGTGCAAAGCTTACTGACAAGCTCCAGAAATGCAGATGAGTAGAACTGCCAACTTTAAAAATCTCCTATACTGGGCTTCACATTCCAGACATCTTTAAAGAAAATGGTATCCTGACAGTTTGTATAATGCATTTCTATATTAAAAAAAAAAAAAAAACAGGGCAGCAGATATGAACAGACAGTTCACTAAAGAGGATATCCAGAAGGCCAAAAGACATATGAAAACATGTTTATCATCACTCCTAGTAAGTGAGATGCATATTAAAATGGTGCATAAGAATGACCCATCTCTAAAAGGTCCCAACAAGTGCTGGAGAGGATATGGAGAAAAAGGAATCCTGTTACATTGCTGGTGAGAATGTGAACTGGTGAAACCATGTGGAAAGCAATCTGGATTTACCTTAAAAAATTAAAAATAGAGGGCCTCCCCGGTGGCGCAGCGGTTGAGCGCTGGGTTGCGAAGCTTCCCGCAGCCTCTGCAGCGCCGGTTCGATCCCCGGCTGCTCCCCGGCCACCGGAGGAGGGTCCCACATGGCACGCAGACCTCTCCTGCCGCCCGCTGCTCCCCT